TTTTTGTGGAATTTCTGTGTGTGTGTGTGTGTGTGTGTGGTTTTGTTTGTTTGGTTTTGGTATGCCAAGGGCTCACCAACACTCTTCCAAAAAGTTCAACCTGATAAAATATATCATTATTTCCAGCCTCTGGCTTAATGCGATTGCTTTGAGTCAGAGATGTAGTCCTCCTAATTTGTGGAATGAATATCTAAGTTTCTGCCAGTGTTTTATACAAATGGTGTTATAAGAGTATTTATAATATAGTTCATTTTTTTGTGGCCAAGAATTTATGTGCTAATTACATTTTTCATATAAGTACCATGGTAGAGAATAATATGCCATGGAGATTTGATTTCTTGTAGAATATTGAATTACATTTCAGATTTCTGTCCAAAAAGATCACAGAAAGAGAAAGGAAGAAATAGGTAGAATGAAAGATAAATTTTTCCTTTGATGCCAGCAAATAGCAAGATAAAATGTTTGTGAAATAAAATGACTTCTCACCTGACAATTTTCTTGGCAGAGAATAAATAATAAAACAATTTCAGTTTAACTAATACTGAGTCTGAAGTTATACCTGAGGAAAATCTCACAGGCAATCTGCTTGGTTTGAGTTGACCTCAGAAGGAATTCTCCCTTAAAGGTTAGTGTTGGTTGTAGTGGCTGGAGGGGACATTTGGGATGGTGAAGGGAAGGTGGGTCCAAGACCTGTTTGTGTATAAAGATAAACATTGGGGCCGTCTGGTCTAAATATGGTTTATCCTATCAGTGGATTTTCTCAACTTCTGAATCTCAATGCCTCGGTATCTCCTACTAAACTATCCTATCCTATCCTGCCCTGTCCTCCCATCCCTTTCTGCTTGGGCTATCTTCACCTTCCCCAAATAATTGTCATTAAAGAGAACCTGGTCTCAGAACACATGCAGTGAGAGCATTGTAAGGAGTTCCTTGTTGGTTTGTTTCTGAGGCTTGGGAAGAAACACCTTGTGTAGGAGGAAGAGACTAAAAGAAAGAGATATAGATATAGGGATTCATTGCTAGACATGGTATCATTCTATGTCCCCCATTTTGGACAACACCCTCACGTTTACTTAATGGCTTAAAAGGTCTCCAGCAGGAAAAAAAATAGTAACAACTATTCAGAGCTTCCTTCTTTCACTTTAGTCTGAGAACTCACATCCTTTCTCTATGGTACCAGAAGCCCAAATATGAGATCCATCCTCAGCCACTTAGGCACAACTGCCCCTCCTTGGGCTTCTTCCTTAAACAGCCCCTCCTGGGTGTGCCCGTAAGGTCCATGCCAAGACTATCTGATGTTGGGAGAGACAGTACAGTTTCTTTATGGTGGTGACTGAGAATAAAAGTTATTAGTATTTTTAAGCTCTCATGCCTGGTGCTGTGCCAACTGCTTGGTGTGCGTTGTTACATTTTAAACTCCAAAACAACAAATAAGATAGGGATTATTTTTAGTCTTTTTTGTTTCTAGTCACCTCCTATCCCCACTGTGTTTGCTGCTCTTGGAGAGGAGAACTTTTTTGAATGGAACAATTGTGGCACTTCTTCCGAGTTCCCGAGAGAGTTTTATATGCATTCAGTTCACTTTTTCCCTCTTTGCCTCTCCTGGTACATGCCTCTTTCCTTCTGTTCCTTCCCTTTGCTTCCTTCCTCCCATTTCCCACCTAAACTATTTACATAATACTACATTCTAGAACTCCAGAAAATAAGAGAGCTGAGGTCTTTGCCCACCTGGAGCTCATATTCTGCTAAAAGCCAGACAATCAAGAAGTAACCAAATACACACCAAAAAGATAGATACCGACTGAAATAACTACCAAAAAACATAAAGGGCAATGAGAGGTGATATGTGTGGGGGGGTGCTCTGCCTAGGTGGGTGGATGGTCAGGGAAGGTCACTTTCTGGAGGTGACAGTAGGTTTGAAGATTTAAGGATAACAACGAGCCAGCTCTTTGAAGGTACCAGATAGAGGAATATAAGAGCATATGAGCTAGAGGCACCAAGCAGCAAGGGCAGAGGCCCAGGGGCAGGATAGGGTGAAGGGTCCTTGACTGGAGAGGAGGCCATGGTGTGGTGGCTGCAGCAAGTGAACAAGGGTGAAAAGAGGGACAGTGCAAGTCAAGGAGATGAACAGAGGCAGATCCCGCAGTGTCTGACACACTGTGGTTTGAATTTTGAGTTTTGTTCTCAACATGATAGGTGTGTCAGAGAGGTTTAAAGGAAAGGAGCGATGTATCTTGATTTTTATAAGACTGCTCTGTCTTCGGTGTGAGGACTAGGTTGCAAGGGCTGGCTGGAAGAGGGAAGACCAGGTAAGGGTACTTCCTTACTTCCTGTGCTTTCCTTTCCTGAAATCAGAACCAGTGATTAGATGATTTTGAGGCATCCACCTGGTGGCTGGTTCTCTAACTGGGTTTTTATTCCTGTGTCCTGCCCTCATTCACTAGGTTTGACTATGAGGGGCTGGAGCCCAAAGCAACATATTATATCATGAGGGACCTGGAGGCCCTGGTCATAGACAAGTCCTTCATTGGCCAGCAGTTTGCCGTGGGGAACCATATCTACAGTGTGGCAAAGACAGATAGCTTCGAGTACGTTGACCCTGTGGATGGCACCGTGACCAAGAAACAGGTATGTGCTAGGGAATTACCAAAAGAGGTTATCAGGCAGAACAGGTGGCCAGAATGTCTTAGAACTGGAGAAGTCTTTGGGAATGGTCTGTTCTGAGCTCTTCCTTTTAAACAGAAGAACTCTGCATCCAGGAAATAGGTGATGAATGTTACCTCACTAATTAGTGGCAGAGGTTGGATTTGAACATGGGACCTCTCTGTTCAGTATTTTTGCAGCTCGGTAACTGATGAGACAACACATCAAACAGGTATAGACCCAACATGTTTTTCTCAAACGTCTGCAGCCTGCAGCTCCTCTTATGTGGTGGTGATAGATTCAAAGAAGCTTCTAAGAACAAAAGATCCTTGTCCTTGGAATCCCCAGGTGTAGAGATATTCACTTTCTATTGTCTTTTGTCATGGAAGGATCACAGGAGCTTAACTCATAGAGTTTGGCACCCCCAGTAGGGAAGAAACAGTTGGGAAATTTGCCCAGAAAACCCAAAAGGAAGATTTATGGTTGAGAATGGTTAGCATAGGTAAGTGACAAAACCAGCCATAATTTCTGTATGATCTCATCTTTGTGAATTGTGGAAGAAAAGCTGAGCACTACTATGGTTATCTTTCTTCTCAGTTTTGTCTGTTTTATATGGCAAATACTAACCTTCTGGACACACATTATAGGTATTAACACAGTCTAAATAATACATCCCAAGCAATTTTAAATGAATTTCTATCACCTAAATCCTCAATTCTTATCTTTTTATACATTCTTCCTAAGTATAGATAACAAGGTATACGCTTCAGGTCTTTGGGGACTAGATATAATGTAGTTACTGCTATTTTGACTACTATTTTCTAAATCCTCCTTGTCATAGGATCCCCTGACTTGCAGATTTTCCAAATCCTAGTGCCTTCTTATTATTCCCTTTGTACTGTCTCTGTTCTGCTTAGCTTTATAGTAGTCTTTTGTCTCCAAGAAAATATCAATGTTTCATTCTAGAAGCCCTTCCATGGCCCAACAACATGACTACAGCATGACTTTGGAAAGGTGAAGGTAGTAAGGAAAATAGGGTGGGAAGAAGCTAGAAGACTCAGAATCTGATCCTGCCACTTGTTGACTTTGGGAAATTTGCTTAATTTCTTTGGGCTATAGTTTCTTCCTCATCGATAGAAAACTTACTTAACAGAATTGTTTTAGAAATAGATTAAAATAAAATACACAAAAGCACCTAGTTATCCTTTAGAAAGGGAGCACACAATAAATTTTTGTGTTTTTTCTAGTAAACTTTATCAAGTTTTAATACATTTTAATAGAATTTAAAAATTTTTTATTTTTATTAGTTTATGCAGTATATAATCATGGAGAGTTGGTCACAAAAAATTTCTGTAGTTGTGTTTTGTTTCACTCACTTGTAGACTGGATTGAATTTGCTTTGAAATAAATAACACCAGTGAATCAATTTTTGAAGATAGAAAATCAGGAGCTTATCTGGCATCTCTTGAGCCCAATGCTTTGTATATATATTTTTGAGTTTTGTACAGCATTTCCATTTCCATTTCCATTTTACTTAAGGCTCCCTGGACAAACTTTCCCCAAATCTGAAGCTTACTTTGTCACTGTAGGATTCAAGAAGGATAAAATATGTGCTTTCTAACATATCCTTGGGAGGTTTTTGTTCCCTCTTCAGAAAGGCTTAGAAAACATTCCTTGGAGGATTGGTATAGTCAACACTAGGTCCTGGGCTTTATCTAACTCATGGGAAGCTTGTCTGTTGAGCTCATTTGTTTTACTGTTTAACCCAGTGTTATTCTACCTTATTTCTTTTTTAGTACACTCAGCATTTAGGTAATTTTTCTTGGCTGTTTATTAACCATTCATATTAGGCTAATTCCTCAACTGGAGCTCAAGTTCTGACATCATTCTATTCCATCTCCCTTGGCCTTCTTCAATCATAGGTACTGATTTCTATTTTGACTCTGACATTTATTAAAAAAATTTTTTTTAATCAGACCCCCCAAATTCAAAAACCCAATTCAAAAACAGGCATCTGAAATGAACAGACATTCTCAGACAAAGAAGTAAAAGCAGCAAATAAACATATGAAAAAATGTTCAACATCACTGGTCATTCGAGAGATGCAAAATAACACTGTGATTCTAGCTCACTCCAGAAAGAATGGCTAGTATCAAGAAATCAATAATAAATGCTGACGGGGCTGTGAGGAGAAAGGAACCCTTCTCCATTGTTGGTGGGAGTGCAGACTGGTGCAAACACTGTGGAAATCAGTATGGAGACACCTCAAAGAACTAGGACTACAGGTCCCATTTGACCCAGCTATTCCCCTACTGGGTATCTTCCCCAAAGAATTAAAAGAATCATACCATAGCAAATATGTGCACCTATGTTCACAGCGGCACAGTTTGTAATAGCTAAGGTTTGGAAACAGCCCAAGTGCCCATCAACTGGAAACTGGATAAAGAAGATGTGGTTTTTTTTATAAAATGGAGTACTACTCAGCC